TCTCACAATTCAGCTCAAAGCTGATATAACGTACATGTAACATTTTCTTACAATACGTACTTGTTATTCGTAATAAAATAATTGTTAACATAATATTTATTTGCTTTTTGACATCCAAATATGCATTTATAATGCTATTATAGAAATAGTTTTTTTAAGAACTTTTACATAACAATCCTCGTATATCTTATACATCTTTTTCACATAGTTTTTACATATTAAATAATTAATTAAAGACTGTTAAAAAATTAATAAAATAAGAAAAAAACCGAAAATTAAAATTACAATTATATTGTACATCTTTGATTTTTTGAAGCAATAATTAAATATATATGTATATTTTTTCTTTGAAAATATTATAAACTCTCTTATACATATACCTACATAAAAAAATCCCAAAAATATATAATTCATGGGACTTACCTGTTACGCATAATAAAATAGCGCTGGTGAAAATTTGAGTCAAAATAATTATAGAGTAAGACTCTTCAACAGTTTCTGTGAGTCTTAATAATTTTCGATGTCTTATGACAAAGTTTTCGATGATGCTGCCTCCTTCACGCTTATACTTGTGATCGATTTGATGAAAGTCACTCATCAGAAGTTCGAGCTGTCCACACAAGTGCATTGTGATACCGACGAAAATTCCCTCTGTACAGCAGTTTCCAGCATATGTCACGAACAACTGAATCACCTGGTAGAACGTAATGAGGGAATACTGGAGATTGGAGACGGATTCGAAGAGACAGGTCATCGGAAGGACAAACGTCCTTCCGTTGGCTGTCGCATTTATAAAGGGCAAAAGTCGCAATAGATAAAATGTAAGGGAGACGAATCCACAGTAAAACAAAGACAGCGAAATTATTCTCGCCGTGCGTGCGTACTGGATCATGATCTCGCGTGACCTTGCATCCTTGATGTTACACCAGTCCTGAATAGCAGAGCATAGATTGCTCGAGAGTGTGGATCGTTGTATTTGCAGCATGGTAAGTTTGACAATTCCCAGCATTGCGCTTGAGGCCACCACATACGTGTCAATCGGATCCTCAGAGGAGTTTTCGCAAGCAAGGTAGACATCCATCAATAGTGTTGTCATCAGCAAAATCTAAAATAGTTATAGATTTGTTGACGATTGTTCTTATTCAAATGTGTCCTTGCCTTATAATGCTATATATATTGACGAAGCATGTGATAATCGTGATTGTTCAAAGCGAGATTTGTTGCGCAGGCGCGGATTGTTAAAGTTGTGCCAGTGGCGAATCCACAGAGAGTCATGGGGGCCATAACCCCTCCTTTAGGAACTTCCTTTTTTAAAAATATTTATAGCAAAAGTTATATATACTTTTAACATTTCTGAAATATATATACTTTTAACATTTCTGAAATATTTTAATATTGGGGGGCCAGCTTCATACGGGTCTCCCGCACCCGCTCCGTCGATAGTCTCCCCCAACAGTATACAATCATGGAAGTCATTTGCCCCTTGGTAAGGGGGGTAGGATACTTCGCGTGGAAAGTTTAACGTTCGTTAACAGGAAAATTTGGAATTTTCGTTTGCTCACCCTTAGTTCAAAAGATTTGTCATCAAACGATGATCAAACGAATACCAAAAAAAAAAAATGATTTTTTAATTCGATACCAAAACTTAATTTTCGTATATCTTTTGAACTAAGGGTGAGCAAACGAAAATTCCAATTGAGCATTCGTGAGCAGACGATGAGCAAACGAATGAATAAGGAAAAAAAATCGACTTTTTAATATTTGGGGGACCAGCTTCACACGGGTTCGCGCTCAAAAGTAAAGTACCCTTAATATCGTTGTGCCAGCGAATGTAACGGTTATGCTGACTTGTGGTAGGCTAGCACAACTCAGATATGCAATTTTGAATAACGGATACGAATTTTAGCGTTATTTTTATTCCGAATTATAAAAAATCGTTTTTTTAACTTCTGTTGTTGTCATTATTTGAGAATACCACTTTGGCACAATGTTAGCACAACTTAGTACAACCTTACAGTCCTTACAAAATCTTAAAAATCGAAAAAATTGCAAAGTAGTGGGCCGGCAATTCAGCACAATTCGCAAAATAATTGAATTCAAAAAGTAGGGGGCTAGTTTCGTATAGGCGAGTTACACAAACATAAAATTAAGATAAATCTCAAATTTTTTACGACATTTTTAAAAAGTTCCACAGTATGATTTAAAAATAAACAAATTTTAATTCGTGCCGTGAAATATCGCAAATTTCGTAAAAAATGTTGAGATTTGATGCATCATCTTCATTTATTTTTGTGTATCTCCATATAATATGTGTAAGACCGTTTTTTTAGGTATTAATTTGAAAAACAGAGATTTTAAGCTGTAAAATGCTATTTTAAACATCTCGATATGATGATTTTTCAAGTTATTGCGTTTTGAAATTTGCCTAATTTTAAAGGGTGAAACAGGTATTGCATTAATTTTGTTTTGAGTAATATACATATACATATATATAAAATATGTATGTATGTATACACAAATTTAAAAATAAAGTAAACTCTTACCTCACTTACAATTACAAACAAGTAACGTATTCTTGAACAAAAAATATTATCATCAATTGGCCACACTCCTACGAGCCATGCTAAAATTTTGTAACTTGACAATGCGTAAATAGCATCCTTGTTCCAATACACCATTCTCGAAGCGTATCACGAAGCGATTTCGAGCTGATCGCACAAGTGTGCATCTTTAATAGCTCTTGGTACTGTATTATGCAATATATTAATACTATCTATACTTCATTAATTGATCCGCCATGCTGACAATACTACGGCACTCGCGCATCTATTCTTTGTCTATCATAGTCCCCTTTTCTTCTACAACTATTGATCGAGAGAATACAGCAACTTTGAATTACTCGCGCGCATCAGAGTATATGCATGTTAAAGATTCTACAAAGAGGATATTTGTTTGACGGCAAATTACTCGATCACATTGTATTATTGCATTACGATCCTCTGATATTTCTTGAATTGTATAGCGTGTATAAAAAATACCGACATGCAGAATTTGCGGTCTATACAATTTATTCATTTTCCAAGAAATTGTTATTCGATACCCTTTGAAGTAATGCGTACCTACAGAAAAAGAGAGATCATTGTGGAAGTTTGGCATATAGACAATTCAAGTAATAAATGTATTTTAGCTTCCAAAGTTCCAAACATTTGCTATTTCAAATTATGTTGATATCAAGAAGAACTTGAAGAATATATTTATATTTCCCCCCTTCTTTCTGTTTCTCTCTCTTTCTCTTTCTCTCTCTTCTAGATAAAAAATTATATGTATATTTATTCTTTAGGGGAGACACTGGAGTTAATAGACTATAGAGGTAGGCAGACTAATCGAATCTACGTTAAAAGCAAAACTGGAGACACGCATAAACGTATCTGAGCATGCAATAAAGTCTGCTGCTTAGTCATCCTAGTCACCTGTGACGCGACACATATCGTTCAAAAGTCATGACATGTTTTTGAAAAATTGTATACGTAAGTACTTTTATTCTTTGAACTTTTCATTTTATAATTATACATATATAATTATTTGAGGTAATTAATTAAATTTTTTTAAAATTGTGTTTTATTACCTAATTATTTTACACATGCATGAAAAGAATATATAACAATCTCATACATTTATAAAAATTACATGTAGTTAAATTTTTAAAAACGTATACATTTTTTTCATAAAAAAAGTTATGTTATTTCAAGCGAAAAATGACACATTTATATTTTAAGTGAACATAATACTGACATTTTATTATCATAAATATATATTTAAGAATCAAAAGTAAAATATAAACAAAATTAAAAAACTACAATGTCCTGAAATATTAATATATACGCACGATGCTCGAGCGACGTTTGATCTGCGCGCGGGGCGGTGAGAGGAACAGTGGAAGGCGGAGGCGATTCGAAAATCTGCTGAAAGTTGCATACATTGCATTTTTGAGTATTCTTTTTTGAATATGGCTTGAACTTTTCATTTTTATGATTTAATTATCGAGCGCTATGCGCTCTCTTCGCTGCGATGCAGCGGCATCCGGCTTGGTTCGTATAGCTGGGGAAGGATGCATTAATTTTAGGGATGCATCGTTACAACATAATATCTTGTCTTCAACAGAATAACGAAAAATTTTCTTAATCGTTCAGCCAATTGTTTGACAAGTGATTTCATTTTCTCTGATCAACCACTCATCTCACATCAATTTTATATTTTATATTTTTCATTATTTTTTATACTTTTATACTTATTTTTAAGTTTAATTTTTATATTATATTCATAACATAACCGTCGTAGTCATACTTACTATTTGCTGCGTTAGAACTTCGTATTTCTGAAGAGGGCCTGAATAAAAGGCTGAAATATGTTAAATGTATACATAACTTAATATTTTTTAATATTTTATAAATTTTTAACTTTTAATATTTTAAATTTTATGCTAATATATTTATGTTTATCTTTTGTTATTACGATTTGATTCTCATTTGCCATTGTATCGTTTTATTATAATTAAAAAATTAATATTTTTTGAACTTTCATTAACACTGTCTTTATAACAAATGATACTTTCTTATGTGTGCTTTTGAGGAAAAACTTTTTCAGAAAAAAGTTGTTATGCTACACGAAAATTACATACTCGTAATTACATGTTACATAAACTTATGGCGTTTTTTTTATAATATTAGTAATTGTTTATTTTTTAAAACTCTTTTTAAGCTATTACATTTTGTTATCTAATAATTTTATGTATAAATAGTATATTTATAAATAATAATGACCTGATAGTGACATTTCTTTGTCATAACATAAATGTTCAAAATTGCAATAAAAAAACAAATATGGTTAAAGAAGCTACAATATATTGAAATATAAATTTATATTCTGCTTCATTTATTTACAACTTATATCTACATGTCATACGATATAATAAACAAATAATATTATATGATATAGTTAGATTATTTAATTGTCACCTGTAAAAATGATATGTATGACAATGCAGTTTTCAGAATATCTGTAATAGTGCTTCGAGTTATGTGAAAAAATTTTCCGGCAGTGAGTCGAAGAGGGATCTTTGTTCTTATCATAACAAATATGAAATCCTTCACTACAGAGGGCGGCAGTTTATACCATGTTGTACTATATATTGCCGAAACGATCGATTCACTTTGTTGGCGTAAAGTTTCACCGGCGTGCGTGAACAAGAAGGACTGCACAATATAGAACTGGACGAAGACCATACTTTTTGCTACATTAGTATAATCATGATTTTTAATGGACACAATCATACGTGTTCCTGAAAAGGACATTTTCTTGTTTTTTTCTGAATGTTTCATTTTTTGCACTTAGGTATATGATTGATACTTTATTTTGATATCACATATTTTTGATACAATTCTTTCTCAACAGTACTTATATTTATTGTGTCAAGTAATTTATTATAAATATATAATAATTTTTACAAGTTTCAACATCATTAATCAAATTTCTGTAAATCTATTTTTATAAACAAATTTAATAATGTGCAATACTTTAGTAAAAAATTTTATTAGTTGCAGAGAAAATAAATAGGCAATTGCAACACATAAATACCTGAAATCGCAATAAAAATGGTAGTTATTGATAAACGAAATAAGACATTGAGATTAAAAGTGTCTTCGATATTTCTAGCTAGTATTATCAGTTTGTAATGTCTTCTGATCCAAGATCGCAATATGCTACGATAATGATTTCTCTCGTTGGTACTTTTTCCAACCAGTTCAACAAAGCGAATTCTCAGAAGTTTTAATTGACCGCAGAGGTGCATAGTAATAGCAAAGAAGAAGCAATCACTTGAACATTCTGCCGTGTAAATTATGAAGGACTGTAATATTTGCATGAGAAAAAGTGCTTTGTACGTAGAATATGAAACCCCTCGAAATAGGCATGTTGACGGAATAACGAAATTCCATAAAACTTCAGTGCCATTGCCAATAGTTACGACCTGTTAAAATATTTCAAGATGTGTTATTTATAATTATAAAAGACAAATGACCAACATAATTGGGAGTACAAATTAGTTCGGTCCGTTTTCCAAAAGATGATCGCCTCCAAAGACGAGACATTTTTTCGAGATGGAATTCGAAAATTGCCTGAGAGATGGGAAAAAGTAGTAGCCAGAGATGGACAATACTTTAATTAATTTGTTTTATTCATTCATTTTGTTTTGAAATAAATACATTTTTGAACACAAAAAACGGACCGAACTAATTTGTACAAGTAATATATCAAACGTATTATGAACACGTAACAACATTTTTAATTAAAATGCGATCTTTGTAAGAAATGTTTGTATTAGTAATAATACTTTTTCAGAATTTTATTTTTTATTAATTAATTTAATTTCTTAATACTCTTTATTATTTATGATAATCGTATTATTCTCTACTAACACAGATAAATTTATATATATTTTTTTTTATTACAATTATTATATTGTATGGTGCCAGTATAAAGTAATTATTAAGATAAGTATTTGTATCACACAAATATAACGTTACCTGTTGTCTATTTCCAAAAAAAATAGCAGGAAAATATACAATTGCGGCGATAAATCCAATCATTAATTGAGACACAGTGATTACTCTACCTATTCGTGCATATCCTGTCATTATCAGATAAGACTGCTTCTTTATTGACGAAGTCGACCAATCGTCAATCGCAGATGTCACGTTGATAGCAATCTTTTTCATGTTAATACGCGCGAAAAGAACATTTATCCACGAGTGTAAGTTCGCTTCTATCACAAGAAAAACCTCTAGAGCGTCTTTGGTGTCACCGCAGTTTATGAAAAGTTCTATCAGCAAGCAGATCACTGTGAGAGACTATATGATAGCAATGGTTCAACCATTTCATAGGTAAACATGAATTAGATTGTACATAATTCTTGATGATAGAAATAAATTTAATTTTGATTATACACATCAATTAATTAAAGGTTTTATGATTTTTTTAACATCAACTACATCTGAAATCCTCCAAAATTAAAATTATTAATTAAAATATTGTTATCATTTATCGAATATAATTACAGTGACTTTCAATAAAAACTTGTATACATTACAAACATTTATCGCCACATCCTATATTTTTAAGAAACGAAATTATTTTTATATATCTTACCTGCTCAATGAATATGATGATCCAACGAAATGTACATACTATATCATTCTGATGCAAAGGCCATACACCGACTATCCACATTACCATTCTTATCATCGAGAAGCCATAATCCATGCCACTGTTCCAATTTGTCTCCATGTCCGGCGACATGCTACTTTCGATCGCAAGAAAATTGTAGCAATATCGTACATAAAATGTTGTTCAATTTATGCAATATACAGTTCCGAGAGAAATTACTATAGTCGGACGTATCACTTGTTCATCGATTGGTTTTTATGGTGGTAAGATAAGTATTGCACTACAATTTCTGTGATCGTACATTTCTGAAACATTCACGTTTTTCCATAATGTGCACAATATCATAATTTGTCATTCCGATACCTTGGAACAATCACGATTTTAACAATAACATTTTGTGTAGAACTTACAGCTTCTGCTTGACATAATGATTGATAACAAATATGTGACAAAAAAAGTACAAGTAGTAAGACAAATTTCAATTTTTTAAGTTACATTTTTAATTGCGTATTACTTTTTTTCCATATACATATATAATTGCTTACTTTTTCAAATTTGTATATTATCAGGTTAAATAAATGATACTTATAACAATACAACCCTAATTAAAGTCTTGAATGGAAAATTTTTCCTTTTTTTCACGTCTAAACTTTCTTGTTCATTAAAAGTTCTTATGTGTGGTTGTAATGTTTGTTCAAGAACGTGAATTATTTTATTAATGTAATTATTCTTGGTAATAACAATTAGTAGAACATATATTGTATTTAATAATTTTTTTTGATTTATTATATGTTACATTTTAATGAAGATGTTCGTATTTATTTCAAATATAATAAATTAAGCAATAAGAGAAGAAACTTAAACATATTTTCGACATCTGTTGATATGTGCAAATTATTGCAATAATAATAATGTGTATAACAAATTTTTGTTCAAATTTTTAGGCAGAACAAAAATGTTCAAGAGATCTAAAAATAAAATACAGAGAAACTGCAATATATTATATACTAAAATATATAAATATATTCTATTTCATATATTTACACACTATTATCTACGCATGCAACACGATAATAAACAATAATTTCATATAATAATTGGACTATTCTTCCATTGTTACTCGTAGAAATGATATGTAAGTCAAAGCAGTTTTTAAAATATCTGTCGTAGTCCTTTGAGTAATATAAAAAAATTTTCCAGCAGTAAGTTGAAGAGGGATCTTCGTCCTCATCATAATAAATATAAAATCCTTCACTATAGGGGGCGGCATATCGTGCCATGTTGTGCCATATATAGCCATAAAAATCGATTCGCTTTGTTTCCGTAAAGTTTCACCGGCATGTGTAAACAAAAATGATTGTACGATAAACAATTGAGCAGATAACATACTCTTCAATACATTAGTATAATCGTGATTCTTAATGGACATAATTATACGCATTCCTGAAAAGGATATTTTTCTATTTTTTTTGCCTAATTTTTTGCATTCGCGTGCAAGAGAAACCTCCCAAATTGAGATTTCAATGAAACATTGTATACATATAATATAAGTCACTGATTAATAATTAATTTTTTAGTCGAAATTGGGAAGCTAAAACAGAATGACGAAAGAATGGTGGAAAGTGTATTATTAGGGCAGGATGGTGGAGAGATAGAATAGTTAAAAGTAAGTTGGAAAGGTTTAGGGAAAGAAGTGTAAGACCTATAACTAGCAGAACCAAATAAGTAGAATCGAAAAAGACTTTTTAAACTATAACATTTAGTGCTCATTTTGTGCTAACTTGTGCGTAAAAAATACAATTTTGTACCATATGCCATTTAGAAGAAACGTGTAGCGCTGCTAGCTTAACATTAAGCTAATAGGACTACACGAAAAGAACACACACACACACAAAATAAAATGAAATAAAATAAGATCTGAATGATTTTGTGCTAATTTCTGTTATCAAATAGAACTTAATATATTGATCTATTCTCCATGAATTAACTCCTAACTAAACTACACACTATTAGATTCAAGAGTAAAGTACTTTTCGCCACGAGAAGAATCAGTCACTATACACAATTCTATTTCACAATAGAAGCGCTATAATTTGTGTCAAAGCATGAAGTTTCAGATTTTGTACCGTTTCTTTGAAAACTACCCTATTGATCTCAAGAGCAAAATATCGTAAATAAAGATTTTCCTAGAAAAATAATACATTGTGTAACGAGTGGGGATTAGTTGTTTATTGCACAACGCGGGCGCGAGCGCACGAGCGAAGCGAGTTCAAATACATTTTTTTTTAGCCGGACTGATTTTTGGAATACAACAAAAAAATGAAAACTCTTTCAAATATGTACATACATATAAGAGATAATTTCATTTTTTAGAAGTTGAATATACTGTATATAATACTGTAATTTAATAAAGTATAAAAAAAATTTAATAAAGTAAAAAAAAATTTTTATGAGTATTAAGGAAAATGGAATGTGCGATTATAATATATAGTATATAATATATACGAATACCTGAAACGGCAATAACAATGGTAGTTATCGTCAAACGAAATAAAATAATGAGATTAAAGGTATCTTCAATATTTCTGGCCAGTATTATTAATTTGTAATGCCTTCTGACCCAAGACCCCAATATGCTGCGATAATGTTTCCTTTCGTCAGCATTTTTTTCAACAAGTTCAACAAAGCGAATTCTCAAAAGCTCCAATTGACCACAGAGATGCATTGTAATAGCAAAGAAAAAGTTATCGTTTGCGCATTGTCCTATATATACAATAGATACTTGTAATATTTGCATTAGAAAAAGTGCTTTGTATATAGAATATGAAATCCCTCTGAATAGACATGTTGATGGAATGATGAAATTCCATAAAGTTACTGTTTCATTACCAATAGTTACGACCTATAAAAAGTATTTTAAGATGTGTCACATAATTTTACAATTATAAAAGACAAATCACAAAATAATAAATTTTTATAAAAAAAGGTTATATTAGTAGCAATACTTTATTCTCTTAGAATTTCATTCTTTAGTTAATTAATTTTTTTCTTTAATTAATTTTTTATATATTATTTGCTCTAATCATAATATTATATTTTTTACAAATACAAGCAAATTTTTACGGATTATTTTTATGAATTGCAGTATAATATAATTGAAGTATATAATAAATATTATACACAAAAAACATTACCTGTTGTTTATTTACGACGATAGCGGTAAGATATACGACAATAGCTATGAATCCAATCATTAACTGAGTCACAGCGATTATTCGACTTATTCGTGCATATCCCGTCATTATTGAATAAGACTGTTTCTCCCTCGACGAAAACGACCAATCGTCAATTGCAGACATCACATTGACGGCAATCTTTTTCATATAAATACGCGCTAAAACGACATTTATCCATGAATGAACGTAGAACTCTATATTAAGAAAAGCTTCCAGAACGTCCTTAGTATCACCGCAGTTTTGGAGAGATTCTATCAGCGTGCAGATCACTGTGAGAGACTATACGATATCAAAGGTTGAACTGTTTCACATAAATAAATATAAATTAATTTTCATAAATTTTTTTACAATAAAGTTAAATTAAATACGAATTAGACACACATGAATTAATTGAAGGTTATAATTTCTTAAAAAATCTAATTAATCTTATAATTCTTTTTTTAAATTATAGTTTTAAAGAATCGGAAAAAAATTCGAATTTTTCTAATTTTTCTGCGGATTTTCTCGGTTTTTTTTCCCAAAAGTAGAAAAATTAATTGGAAAAATTCACGCGTATTTGTAAAATATCTGTGCCATAGGGTACAGCCAACAGTGGGATAATTTGGATAAGTTAACAGAAATTATTTTGAAATAGTATATTAAAGATTAAGATAATGTATTCTGTTAAACATATAAAACACACATATGTTGCGTTCAGCAGAAAAAGCAGCAGCAGAATATATGACGGTGCGAAATCAAAAAACCAATTAAAAAGATTTGTACAGTCAAGCGTTAAATTATGATTTTATTAACTCTTAGTAAAAAATTTATGTAGGCAGATGTTTGTATTTATCGTCACAAGCTATATTTAAGAAAAACAAATTTTTCATTGTTTTATCTCACCTCCACAATAAATATAACAATCCAACGAAATGTGCAAACCATATCGTCCCATTGCAAAGGCCATACACCGACTATCCACATCATCATCCTTATTACTGAGAAGCCATAGTTCATACCACTCTCCCAATTTGTCTTCATGCTCGGCAACATGCTAGTTTTGATCTCAAGAAAATTGTCACGTCATGTACGATATGTTGTTCAACTTATGCGATATACGGTTTTAAGAGGAATTACTATAGTCGAACGTTTCACTTGTTCATTGATCGATTTTTATGGTGATAAGATAAGTAGTACTATGTATAATTTCTGTGATCGTACATTTTTGTAATATTCATGTTTTTCCATAATGTGCACAATTTTCTGCAATAACTTTGGATGCGTTCCGTGTAGTGCATGATACACATAATGTATCATAATAATATTCGGTAAACTGTAATGATGAAATGATACATTCTGCGCATCATACATGATATGGAACGCGTTCTTTGTCAATCCATCGATATTTGTGAATGATTACAACCTAAACAATGACATTGCGCGTTGAACTTATCGCATCTGTATCATAGTTCGATATTCATAGTTTGTTCTTCTTTTAAGACTGTCTAAAATAGTATCTTAAAATGCTAATACGATCTTTGTTTATGACATAACGAGACTGTCCTCAAAACAGTCTGAGATATAAAAATCGGCTATACATACCGGCTTATATATTGATTTAGTCTTACTTTAAAACAAACTTAAAAATTCCAGATGCAATGAAAATAGTTTTTAAAAGTTGGCCTTGAAATATTTTAAAGATCTGAAGTTATTTTAAATTAAACTTTTATACGCTTTCAATTAACTCAAAAATTTTATTATAACTTAAAAAAAATCTTAACTTCATACATCAAATAATTTCTTTATCAAGTATTACATTTTCAAAATATATTACTCATATACATATAATTAACATAAGGATAAGCATTAAAAGACGAAAAAAAAAATCTTTTCCTTGAAGAAATTTCCGCTTACGTTTCTAACATTACCCTTAATACGGACAAATACGAAGCGGAAGCTTTTAAAATATCCTTAAAGCTTATGAAATTTATTGCTAAAAACTTCCCTGCCGTTAATTGATGAGGATTGGTTGATCGGAGGATCATTAATGGTAAATTCTTCATTACATTTAAATCAAAATTGTACCATGGTAAGTCATAAATTGCAGAAGCTAGTCCTTGTGATTGGAATTCCAACGTCTGTCCAGCGAAGCAGTAGAGAAATAGTTGTATGAACAAAACAACGATGAAAAGGAGATGTTTCATGGCAGCGTATATGCTATGCATCGAAAGCGTGAGGATTAACTGAAAGCCTGAAATACATATGACAATCAACTATTATACATATTATATGTATATACATATGATAATTATTGATAAATTTAAGGCTTCTTATAAATCTTTTAACAAATTTTTATTCATCTATTCTAATTAAACCAGAATTAAAAAGGCATTAAGGAAACATTTGCTTCATATATATGTATACATTTTTTTTGTATGAAATAAAAATTATTACTAAATAATATATTATAGTTATATTACATATTGTAATATTACTCTGTTTCAGAATAGTTATTATAACGTAAATAAGAATACGATTTATTTAAGATAAAATGTACCTTCAATGCATAATAAAGTCACACTTAATAAAAGTTGAAATAAGATGACCAAACTGAATGCTTTTTGCAGATGATGAGCTAAATATATGAGGCGATGATGTCTCTTTAACATGTTACCAAGTCTATTGCGATTAAACAATTCTTTGCTATTTTCTATTTCACAAAATTCCATCCTAAGAACTTCGAACTGTCCACATACATGCATTGTGAGATTAAAGAAAAATCCATCGTTTCCACATTGCGATATACAGTTGACAAGGATTTGTAATATCTGTAGGACTTCAACGAAATGGTAGGTGATAGATGTATAATTTCCGAAGACGCAATAAGCTGCTAAAAGCATTCTCCTTTCACTTGTTTCATTATTGTAAATCTGCTCTTCAAAGGTCCAAGGCAGAACAAAATTGGCGAATATAAAATGTGAGAAAAGAAACACGCAAGAAGCACATCCAAAATTAAAAAATGCCAAGAAACCTCCCCTACCAACGCGTGCATATTTCAACATAATGTTGCGCGTATAAGAATTTTCTACAAAAGTCCAATCATCGATAACAGATTCCACTAAAATCAATATGTGTCTCCGATTTATACGATGTAAAAGTAGTTTTGATATACTAGTTATTGATGAGGATGCAGATAAAAAAGCATTTAATGTGTCCTCATGACCACGACAATGTTGGATAACTTCCATTGACAGGGTGATCGTTGCACTCAGCTAATTAAAAAAAAATAAAGATATTGAGTTCTTGTAAAAAATACATACTTTATTTTTATTAAATTGTATACGATTTGACGGAAAAACCTAACGCTTTTATAATGTGATTATAGTTTCGTCAATAGAGAGAATCACGTTCTTAGTGACGTTCACACAACAGCACACATGACGCCATTTTAGTAGCTATGGTATAGTAAGAAATAGTACATTGTGTAACTCATCGTGGGGGCTAGTGTTTATGGAGCGAAAGCACGAGCGAAACGAGTTCGTATCCGCGCCCGTCCCGCGCTATAAACAATATACCTCCACTCGTTAGCCATAATATTTTTCATTACAAGTGCTCGTCGTAATGTGCCTATACCGCAACGTTTTTGCGCAGAAGAGTGGGGTTAAAGAAATAACTCAACGGCTTGAGATATTGGCTATTTCCCGCACGCAATACCAAAATAAAAAAGCAAGATAGAAATTAGACATAAATTACCGTCTTTAATAATAACTAATAATAACAACTTACTTCTATTATCGTCGATGTAAACGATCGAATTCTCGAAAATATATTATCTTCACTGAGCACCCAGAGTCCAAGTATACCAAAAATATATTTATAAAGCGTTAAAACGTATGAAATTTCAGTATTCCACTTATCTACAGTCGATCCCATTTTCAAATACTTGAAAACCTGCGGATTGTAATAATCTCTTTTAATTTATTTCATTTGATAACTGTTGCAATTATGTTATATTGAATTTCTCTTTAGCTTACCTTCTCTTCGAAAGGGAATGTAGTCCTTCGCTTCTCCACAATAACTGCATTGTAATGATATTCGATAACTACAATCCGCATTTGTTTTGCTGCGACAACCCCTCGTGCAACTAACTTCTCTGGATTTTTATCTGATTTATTATTTATACCTACCCTTTATACTATTTTCTTTAACTTTCTAAGAATCCAAGTACACCTTGTGTTTCTATATGTATTATTTGTATAAATAATATGGTTATACATGATACGACATTGTCCTCCAAGATACTTTGTCTTTGAAATAATAAGTTTCCAATCGCATTTTTTAAATTCCATTTACTGGTAAATATAAAATTTACTGCATCAACAGTGAAATAGTTTCTTGTCCTATAATTTTTGCCCGAAGAAACAACTTATACATTTTTTTTTCAGGTAGAAAAATGTAAATAAGATGTAAAAAAATAGAAAAATGTTATGTATGGAGATAAAGTAGCGATAATAAGAAACTGTAGCACAAATATGATATTTGACGATATCATAACATCTTTACTAAGCAATAATAGAGAAAAATTTTCCTCAATAGACATGTATTATTGATTAAACTAATAATTCATTATGAAGCTCATATTTTTATATGTTCAAACTTCTTCAATAGAATTTCTGGCGAAAATAAGGAACTTTATAAAGCGATGACAACCGTTCGATGACGATTTTCTAAGAGTTTATACGCTTTCAAACTTTATAAGTTTATTAACGCTTACATAACACAATTGAGTTTTAAACATCTTCAGAACGCTTATAAAATGCCGTATTTATCGTTTGATAAAAGTTCTATAATGCTAAAGTAACGCTTTGCAAAGAACGTTTAATAAACGCTGATACATCTTCGTACAAAGAGTTTATTGTCAATTTTGCAAACTATTAACCAACATTTTTAATGTTGGCCTTGAAATATTTTAAAGATCTGAGGTTATTTTAAATTAACCTTTTATACGCTTTAAATTAACTCGAAAATTTTTAAATTTTGTCATTACTTCAAGAAATCTTAACTTTATTTAAAGTAAATTTTCTTAAGGTGTGTAATAGTAGAAAATACATACATAAAATAATTTCTTTATCAAGTGTTACATTTTCAAAATATATTACTCATATACATATAATTAACATAAGGATAAGCATTAAAAGACGAAAAAAAAAATCTTTTCCTTGAAGAAATTTCCGCTTACGTTTCTAACATTACCCTTAATACGGACAAATACGAAGCGGAAGCTTTTAAAATTTCCTTAAAGCTTATGAAATTTATTGCTAGAAACTTTCCTGCCGTTAATTGATGAGGATTGGTTGATCGGAGGATCATTAATGGTAAATTCTTCATTACGTTTAAATCAAAATTGTACCATGGTAAGTCATAAATTGCAGAAGCTAGTCCTTGTGATTGGAATTCCAACGTCTGTCCAGCGAAGCAGTAGAGAAATAGTTGTATCAATAAAACAACGACGAAAAGGAGATGTTTCATGGCAGTGTATATGCTATGCATCGAAAGCGTGAGGATTAACTGAAAGCCTGAAATACATATGACAATCAACTATTATACATATTATATGTATATACATATGATAATTATTGATAAATTTAAGGCTTCTTATAAATCTTTTAACAAATTTTTATACATCTATTCTAATTAAACCAGAATTAAAAAGGCATTAAGGAAACATTTGCTTCATATATATGTATACATTTTTTTGTATGAAATAAAAATTATTACTAAATAATATATTATAGTTATATTACATATTGTAATATTACTCTGTTTCAGAATAGTTATTATAACGTAAATAAGAATATGATTTATTTAAGATAAAATGTACCTTCAATGCATAATAAAGTCACACTCATTAAAAGTTGAAATAAGATGACCAAACTGAATGCTTTTTGCAGGTGATGAGCTAAATATATGAGGCGATGATGTCTCTTTAACATGTTACCAAGTCTATTGCGATTAAACAATTCTTTGCTTTTTTCTATTTCAGAGAATTCCATCCTAAGAACTTCGAACTGTCCACATACATGCATTGTGAGATCAAAGAAAAATCCATCGTTTCCACATTGCGATATACAGTTAACAAGGATTTGTAATGTCTGTAGGACTTCAACGAAACGGTAGGTGATAGATGTATAATTTCCGAAGACGCAATAAGCTGCTAAAAGCATTCTCCTTTCGCTTGATTTATTATTGTGAATCTGCTCTTCAAAGGTCCAAGGCAGATCAAAATTGGCGAATATAAAAGGTACGAAAAGAAACACGCAAGAAGCACATCCAAAATAAAAAAATACCGAAGAACCTCGCCTACCAACGCGTGCATATTTCAACATAATATTGCGCGTACAAGAATTTTTTACAAAAGTCCAATCATCGATAACAGATTCTACTAAAATTAATTTGTGTCTCCGATTTATACGATGTAAAAGCAGTTTCGATATACTAGTTACTGATGTGGATGCAGATAAAAAAGCATTTAATGTGTCCTCATGACCACGACAATGTTGGATAACTTCCATTGACAGGGTGATCGTTGCACTGAGCTAATTAAAAAAAAATAAAGATATTGAGTTCTTGTAAAAAAAAAATACATACTTTATTTTTATTAAATTGTATACGATTTGACAGAAAAACTTAACACTTTTATAATGTGACTGTAGTTTCGTCGATAGGGAAAATCACGTTTTTAGTGACGTTCACACAACAGCACACATGACGCCATTTTAGTAGCTATGACGGAGTAGTAAGAAAAATATAATATAGCTACGCGAAAACCTGATAATTCTTAAATTAATATCATGCAGGCAAATTATGCATATAAACAAATGTCGTTTTGTTAATATATAGAACAATAATGTTTCTCATTCATAAATATATATAATTGTATAGTAATTATACATATTTATTTAACTGGAATTTAAGCTAATATTCATCGGGAAATTATTGTAATATCACGATAACTCAACCTATTTGTACGCATCAGACTATCACGAATTTCGATATATATTATTTATGCTAATAAAGGTTAGATCTATTTAATGACAACACTATTTACGTACTGATGCTGCTCTCTCTTGGTCAGGCCAATGACTTATTGAACACCCTATAGTACATATTGTTCTACACATTTACAAATTTGTTAAGGGGTTATATACGTTTAAAATTTTCAAAAAAATCGATTTTTCAAAAATGATATTTTCTAAAAGTAGGTATTTAGAAGAATATTTCCTGAAAGTTTTAAATCGATTCAGCAAATATTTCCAAAGATACAGGCTGTTATGTACTTGCGTCCGAGAGCATTGCGACAGTTGCATGGTCTCACTGTGCGGACACTCGATAGTGCGGCCTAATGCGCTTTTTTGAGACAAAAATATAAATTCATACATAAATAGCAAAATAAATGTATTTACAATAAAAAAAAAAGTTCACTTTATTATAAATCTAAATTTTTCATATCAACGATGAGACTACTAGGGTTTGAACGTTCGTGGTTTGTGCTCACTTCCATGTCGCACGCGAAGAATTGCTAAGTAGAAGTTGTGTGTTGACGATCGTCATGAAATTAGTTGCGTGTGATTTTGCAACTAATCGTTAGCTTAGGCGTTAGCGTAGGCGAAAATTCACATCGCTATGTTCAAAGTGAAGACGCAGCGCGCGTATCTATCGCTGAACAGAGAGCGCAGTGGAGTACGCAGGAAGCAAGAACGGCTCGCAAACAAAGATATATTAAAACTTTGGAAGCTGCTACTGCTGCAGAAGAGCTGTTATATAGGCCTGGAATAAATGACACTATGTAAGTAAAAAACAAAATTTTTTTAAATACATTTTCTCTGGTTTTAAACTTTAAACGCGTTCTTCTCAAAACTACATTTTTAAAGTCGGTGAGCAAGATATCTCAAAAAAATAATGAACGATCTTTAATTTTTTTTTACTTACTTTGGACATGAATATCTCGTAATTAATCGAAGCATTTATATTTTAAATGAGTAGTTCTTTTTTTATTAACGAAAAAAGGACAATTTTTAAGGTAAAAATCGAAAACTTTTCTTTAATGAGCCGCCATTTTGTTTGTAATCAATATTTTCAGAAATGGAACGATTAATTACTAGCTTATACAATATACTAATGAATTTTTTTTGGATTTTTGATTTCAGATGAGTTCCTGCCGAGATATCTTGCTCACCGCAAAACCATTTTTTTTTAAATACGTCTCTGTAAACCGGCGAATATTCTAAATTATTAAATATTTTTGTACAAAAAATGTTTGAAATACACTTTAAATATAACTTTATTGAATGTGTTATACACATGTATATAGTTTCATTTTGTTTAAAAAAAATCCTAAAAAAATCGCTTTTTCCAGCCCTCTAAATGTATATAACCCCTTAATATATATAATTAGCTTGCACGGTATTGATCTAAACACCAGTTTTTGTAGCTATATCTCTCTTATAGTAGTGTTCAATAGCTTATTAAATGACATCATGTATGTTGCAGAACATCACTGAAAATGCCAACTTTCCACTATGCTAACAGCACAATTACAGAGGTTTCTCTGCCAAATCTTATTTTTTTTAACCTAATTTAATATTCATCAAATGTTTCAACTTACTTTTGTAAGACATTATCAAAATTACGTAAAATGTGACATACATAGATAAAATTTATTATTTCAAATTAGACAAAACATACATAATATCAAAATAAAACAGCAAGATAGAATTAGAAATCAATTACCTTCTTTAATAATAACTAATAATAACAACTTACTTCTATTATCGTTGATGTAAACCATCGAATTCTCGAAAATATATTTTCTTCATTGAGCACCCAGAGTCCAAGTATACCAAGAACATATTTATAAAGCGTTAAAACGTATGAAATTTCAGTATTCCACTTATCTACAGTCGATCCCATTTTCAAATACTTCAAAACCTGCGGATTGTAATAATCTCTTTTAATTTATTTCATTTGATAACTATTGCAATTATGTTATATTGAATTTCTCTTTAGTTTGCCTTCTCTTCGAAAGAGAATGTAGTCCTTCGCTTCTCCACAATAACTGCATTGTAATGATATTCGATAACTACAACCCGCATTTGTTTTGCTGCGACAACCCCTCGCGAAACTGAGTTCTCTGGATTTTTATCTGATTTATTATTTATACCTACCCTTTTATACCATTTTCTTTAACTTTCCAAGAATCCAAGTACACCTTGTGTTTCCATATGTATTATTTGTATAAATAATATAGTTATACATAATACGACATTGTCCTCCAAGATACTTACTTTGTCTTTGAAATAATAGGTTTCCAACCGCACTTTTTAAATTCCATTTACTGGTAAATATAAAATTTACTGCATCAACAGTGAAATAGTTTCTTGTCCTATAATTTTTGCCCGAAGAAACAACTTATATACATTTTTTTCAGGTAGAAAAATGTAAATAAGATGTAAAAAAAATAGAAAAATGTTATGTATAGAGATAAAATAGCGATAATAAGAAACTGTAGCACAAATATGATATTTGACGATATCATAACATCTTTACTAAGCAATAATAGAGAAAAATTTTCCTCAATAGACATGTATTATTGATTAAACTAATAATTCATCATAAAGCTCGTATTTTTATATCCTCAAACTTCTTCAATAGAATTCCTGGCGAAAATAAGGAACTTTATAAAGCGATGACAACCGTTCGATGACGATTTTTTAAGAGTTTATACGCTTTCAAACTTTATAAGTTTATTAACGCTTACACAACACCATTGAGTTTTAAACATCTTCAGAACGCTTATAAAATGCCGTATATATCGTTTGATGAAAGTTCTATGATGCTAAAGCTACGCTTTCTCAACCAAAAAACATTTATAAAACTTCTTTTTTTCGTCAGGGTTTCTCTGTGGAGATAAAAAGAAAATCTACTGTAAAATGAGAACATTGAAGTAAATCATTGTTTGAAGTAAATATTCCTGAAAATAAAAAGATATTGTAAAGAAATTAAAAAATAGAGCTAAGACTAATTGATACAAACAATTTCAAAATTACGTCATATTCTATAAAATAGTAGGTTTTTATAAAAAAAAAGGTTACAATAAATATATAACTGCACGGAAAAATAGAGCTAAAGTAGCTAAAAATTTAGTACATAAGTAGTTTAGTAAATAAATTAATAGTTTTCGTCCAACATAAATAGTCCTTAACGTTCACAATAGAGGCTATTTGCTGGACATATTTACACGTCTATAGCACTAAAAGAATTCAACAATGTATTTTAATATATTATAAATTGCGTATAAATCACGAAGTTAAATCTCGTCAAATTTTTTCATCGATTAATATGCCACATAAATGTTGGACAATTTACTTTAATCAAACAATTGTCTTTTTTTCTATAGTATAAAAGTCAAAATGTATATCTCAAAATACTTTTTAATCGTATTTGTCTATATATACATAGTATCAGTTTTTGCGTAATATTAGAAAATTTACATGTACTTACACACACACGATGCATACATGTATGTACATGGATGCTATACTGATAGTGATTAATTTATTTTACTCTTTCTTAACGCTATTCTTAAAACTGAAATATATGAGGCCGCTGTCTTAAGAACGTACATCATTGTCTCGCGATTAACATAGAAAAATTTTCCGCCTGTTAAACGAAACGGAATACTCGACCTCATCATCGCGAAATGCAGATCTTTCATTAATGCTGAAGGAAGCGTGAACCAGGAAGTTGTGTACAATGTATAAAATATGTTTTCGCTTTTCCTTTGCAAAAATTCACCACCATAGGTATATACTAACGATTGCATGACTAAATAGTTTAAGACAAAAACACTCTTTATCGCTTCAACATGATTTTTTTCGTTTATGCAAATATTTAAACGCAATCCTAAAAAAATTAACATTTCATTTTAAAAGATGTATGAACATGTTCAAGTTGTGAATTACCTAACTATTAAATTAAAAAATATGATAAAATATACTAAATATAAATTTTTTAATTTTTAAAATGCATTAAATATCACTTTTTTATACAATTACGTATATAGATGTTATATAAATATAAATACAAACTATAAAATCTTTGATATACATTACCTACTAATGCAAGTAAAACCGTTACTACCACAATTTGATATAATATAAGAAAATGAAATGTGTCTTCCAAATTTTGATACAATTCCATCAACAGGCTGTGCCTGTTAACCAAGTTGACGAATTTCTTTCGATAATTTGTAACAGTTTTTGGCTCGCTCGTAAATGTCTTGAAGTTGTTTTTAAGCACCTCGAGTTGACCGGTGAGATGTAGTATGATGTTAAAGAAGAAACTATCCACGGTAAATAATAAAAAAGATAATACGCTCGACTGAACAATCTGGATAGTCAAGATTACCGCATATTGTGGACCAGTAATGAAGTGATTCAATGGACCAGATGGAATCAGCAGCATCCAATCTGTTGTATTAACTGTATATTATAAAAATTAAAAAATATTAAAATATTATAACATAATATATTTAATTTATAATTAGATTATAAAACCAAATAAAGAATGATATATACTTGGAAAATTTATGTCAAGTTTAAATTTATATTTAATTAATACATTCATTTGTCCCAAACAGCTCATTAAAATTTTTATGTTAATTTAACATAAAATACATATGTTAGAAGGTTACACAAAAAATATTATGTAAATATTAACACACGAAAAAAAAATGTAATACTGATGCAATTTGTAAGAAAATTAAAAGCATACTTCTTCAGTAAAATTAACATTTATAAAATATTAAGTTAACATATTTTATTTATTTATCTTAAAATTTATATTTTAAAATAAATTATTTTGATTATTTACTCATAAATTATGTTATTTTAAAGCTAAGAAACATTAATTTAATAAAAATATTCAAATAACACAATAACATTGTGTAAAAGTAACTCGCATATGTTAAAAATTTTCACAAGGACGGTTTCAAATACAAAAATGCTTTTTACTGTAAACTACACAACAAATACAATTTTACCATTCGCTAAATTCAATTCGTCTGTGAAGAATATCTGCTTCAGATTAATAAATATAATGACTGCTATATACATGCCAAGGCACACATACAACGAATATAATAACGTAAATGTGAGTGTTTTGGCTTTAACTGCATACTTCTTCATTATCTTCCTAGTTTCCATATTATTTTTAATAGATAACCAATCGTCAATAGCAGCATTAATATTCGTACGCAGCCTCTTCTGACTGATAATAAAACATAGATTTTTTATAATTCCAGTCGTCGTAGACGCAAAGAATGTTATACTTTCTATATTTGAGCTGGCGTCGTTGTTGCTCCAGAGGAACTCCGTCGTCAGACAAGGTAGTATCATAAACTAAATAACAATTAGTATCTAAGTAAATACTAATAAATATAAAAGAATAATTTGAAAGATTAATAAGAAATAAATCATCTTATTTTTATTGCAAAGTATAATATATAAAGAAAACGGTCTAACAAGGGAACAATCGGAACCGAACCGATTTTGATGCGCTTTAAATATGTTCTAGAGCATCATTATGTTACGATTTTAACGAATCTCACTCATTATTTCAAAAAATCGTTCAATACGTTTATCAAAAGTATATAGTCTTTTGAACAAAAATTCAGCTATAATGTTCATAATGGTACTCCCTTGGGTAAATATCTAGAAAAGAGGAGCTACCCCTGACGACCTTAACCTTGACATATGTTGTCAAGGTCATAACCCTGAGTAACCTCCCGCAGGTTTTAGATGGCGGTCGCTGTCCGTTAAAAAGTTATGATCAAAAACAGTTTGAAAAATTACGTTTTATTTCTATTATACAGTGCGACTTCCAAGCGAAGTGATTCTCATCCCACTTCATGCTGTGATCGCATGTGCATGCACTTCTATAATTATACTGTTGCACGTGGATTTCGTCCCTACCCATTTAGTGGTGTGAGGTAGCTCTCGCTTCGCGTAGATCATAACTTTTTAACGGACAGCGACCCCACCTAAAACTTGCGGGAGGTTACTCAGGGTCATGACCTTGACAACATATGTCAAGGTCAAGGTCGTCGGGGGTGGCTTCCCTTTTCTAGATATTTACCAAAAATCTCATTACCGCTCGATTTAACCGTTTTTTTCTTTATACTTTGCATTACAAAAAAAATAAGCAAAATCTATACTTATTTTCATTGTAAGCACACGCAAAAAAATGAATTCTTAAAGCAAAGCGTATATGCTTTAATTCAAGAATATTTTATGCTTAAAATAACTCCAAGAATAAACATTCTCCGATTTAGAATAAATTATTCTTAAAACAAAGTGAAGAATATTCTTAGCTCAAAATAAATTTTACTTCAATTAAAGAAAGAGTGTGGCACTCTTTCAAAACTAAATATACTTGTATTAGCATTGTTTTTTCTTCAAAATGAGACCTTTCATCAACTTAATAAAAAAAAATTAGTTTAATTCAAATACGATAATATTCTTATATAAACGTTAGTATTTTACTAGATTTAATCCATTAAATGCTTAACATAGACTTATCTATATCTCCGTAACCCAACCTAACACTGATAAATATTTCTTTTTTATACACATATACATGCTGACAGCATGTTGAAGCGTGAACGTGAAAAACGAATGCGTCCAAAATCGGCCGTCTCTCATACAATATGATACAGCATGCTTAGGTAGAACAAGCTACTTTTCACTTATCTTTGAAAGTTTCAATTATGTTTGGAGGCATGCCCCATGAACACAGCATATCACTTACAAAACTCTCTTTATTCACTTTTTATACTATTTTCACCATCTTAATTAATACTGACGTCTACCAACGCCACCGAGCTTAACATATACAAACTTTTGCCCGCGAACACGCAACAAATGAACACAGAATATAAGTCGAGTACATTTTAGTAATTAAATATGTAATTCTTAATCCAAAAATGAATAGCTTTTAAATAATGTGATTGAGCTTATTAGAACAATATAATGATTTTAGAAATAAGAATATGATTTTAAAAATAAAATTTACTTCGCATAAATTTATTTATTATTGATGCGAACAAACATTTGTAATTAAAGAGAATTTTTCACTTAAAGAAAACAAATAACATTCAAGAATAAAAATATACGTGAATCAGGAATTTATTTCTTTCTGTGCATAAACTTGCCAAACAGAAAAATAAAATTTTTAATTAACAAATTTTTTTAATGCAATGTTAAAGGAATAAAATGTAAAAAAGAGAATTATATATTTTAAAATTATACCATCCTTCTTGCATTAACGTACCTGTGCAATCAAACAAAAACCCCATTGTATCTTCGTGAATACTGTCTGCTTCTGTAATGGCCACAAACCGTATAGTTTTAGGAATAATCTATGAATAGAGAAAACGTAAGCGATGTCATCGTTCCAACGTTTATCCATCATTCTGGCAAGCGGAAAAACTCGAATGATAGCTCATTCAAAACTAACTTTGTTCAGTTGTTACAAACTAAATTTTGCCCAATTACCATCGATTTACTATCATTCAATTCTTATTATAAGTTATCAATAGCGCCATATTAACTTATTATTTCATCGAACTCATGTTTTATTAACTTGCGCAGAAACACTTCTTTTACGAACAAAATAAGTGTAGAGATCGGTGTACATATCATGCCTTTACATGTTTTTATATTTCTGTCTCCATAGTGTCATCTCAATCATAGGAATAATATTTGGTGAAGTATATTTGGTGAAATTATTAATTTTATTGTTTCAGTATAATAATTTTATACATATATTCGTCTTATTATGATAAATGCAATTTAATAGGAACTATATAAAATGTTATGTAATTATATATTAAAATAAAAATGTTTCTTAATTTTTATTTGTAACATTTTATAGTTTAATGTTATTTTATATATCTGCTTAAAACTTTTGTATTTATGTCGATGAGCTAAAATATCATTCACTTAATGTTGATTCTGCATGTTTTACTAGCGGCGGTCTTATATTGATTATGCCAAACATGGTTGCGAGATACTCTAAACATTTTTTTCGATAATCGTCGCTATCTTTAACTAGCGACAGCCAATGAAAGCCGCGCTTTCTTCCAGAATTGTCCTATCATTGGCTGTCGCTAGTTAACAATAGCGATAATCATCGATAAGACATTTAGAGAATCTCGCTAATGGACTCCAAAAGATTTCTAAATGTATTCATTGAGGTCTGTTATGTTAACAGCAGTTCTTTAAAATACTTTAAGTTACGACGGAGTTATATATGGAGCAAATTTATTTGTCTAACACATTCTATAAATACTCAATGTGACTGAGATAAGATGAATTTAGTGACTAGAACACAAGAATGAAATATTCCTTATATGTTCCTCAAACCATTATTGAACAACTCATGCAGTGTAACACGGAACATTGTCTTGCTGAAAAGTTCGACTGTCATCGTAGAAGACTGTTACAAGAAAGAGATATACCTTGTCTTAAGCAATACTGAGTTAAAGAAATTACCGTTAATGTCTTAGCAGAACATTTCAATGGATACGTTTAGAGTTTAAAGGTATTCTTGTAGAATTCGTACCTAACAGGATTGATAAGATAACATTTGACAGCACATAGAAGAACAATACAGTATTAAATAGCTAGTGACAATGCTTTGGCTCATCAGCATATATCTCACAATAAACATATAAATTATGTAATACAATTTTGCTCCTTTAATATATATCTTTATTTACAAAGAAATACTTGTCAATTATCCTAAAAAAATTTTTACTCACGTTTTTATCATTACCCTTAATACAGATAAATATGAGGCGGAAGCCTTTAGAATTTCCTTAAAAGTCATAAAATTTATTGCTACGAATTTTCCTGCAGTTAATTGCTGAGGATTGGTTGCTCGGAGGATTATCAATGGTAAATTTTTCATCATATTCACGTCAAAAGAATACCACGGTGATTCATAAATTGCATAAGCTAATTCTTTTGACTGAAATTCCAACGTCTGTCCAGCAAAGCAATAAAGAAAGAGTTGGACTAATAGTGAAATAATAAAGACTCCATGTTTTGCTGCGGTAAGAGCATCGTTCATTTCAAGCGAAAGAAGTAAAAGAAAACCTGGAAAAGGTATGTAATGTCAAATATAATAAAAAGTTTAAAATAGTTACAAATTCTTTATTTATTGTTTTAAATGTTATAAAATTTATATTTGCTTCTTTATTTAGATATTTTATACCATGTATATAACAGAATAAATAATTATAAATTTTGAAATAACGATAAATTTGATACAGTTTGTTTAATTTTAAAGTAATTTTAAAGTACCTTCGACGCATAAGACAACAACGCTCATTAAAATTTGTGCCAAGATGACTAAAGTAAATGCTTTTTCTAAATATCGCGATAAATACACAAGGCGATAATGTCTCTTCAACAGGATGTCGAGTTTGCTATAGCAGGAAAATTTGTCGCAACCCAATGCATTAAAGTCCATACGAAGAATTGCAAATTGCCCACACATGTGCATCGTGAGATCGAAAAAGAAACCGTCGTTTCCGCATTGCGAGATGCCGTTAACGAGAATTTGTACGAATTGCAGAACTTCAATAGCGCAGTAAGCAAAAAAGGATGTATAATATTTTCCGAAAGTGCAATAGGCCGCTAACATCAGTTTTCTTTCGTATGTTTCATTATAAACTTGCTTTTCAGAGGTCCAGGGTAAATTAATATTGGCGATCACAACACTGGAGACAAAGGATACGACCGAAGCACAACCCATACAGAAGAATATTGAGGAACCCAGTCTACCTATGCGAGCGTACTTTAACATGATATCACGAAAGTGAGAATTTTTCACGTAAGTCCAATCATGAATAACTGATTCTACCAAAACGGATTTTTGTCTCCAATATACGCGATGCAAAAGCAGTTTTACTAAGCTGATTATTGACGATGAGCTTAATAGAAAAGCATCCATGGCATCTTCGTGACCATTACAATGTCGAATCATTTCTAGTGACATGATGATTGATGTACTCGTCTGGTCATGAAAAAAAGAAATAAAGATACTAATATCTCAATTTATAAATTTTTATTTTATTTCGAACATATATATGATTTAATACATAGAATGTTTCGCGCGAGGAAATTAATAAATTTCTAGAAATGTGTGTTTTAGAGGTTACTCTAATCGTAAGACAAAAAATTTACATACATAGATCAATTCAACTTAGTTATTAATGAATAGACAATTATAATACATTAATAATATAACAGACAAAATATAATACTAAATATTTATCAATTTTATGTAAATATTATTTTTTATTAATATTAGTTCTTCAAAATCTCCATATTCTGTTTGCAGAAAAGCAACAGATTGCACAGAGAGTTTGTATTATCTGACATTGTGAGCAAATTTTACACTTGTGTGAAAATTAATAGAAGGGTATTAAATTATATTCTATTAAATAGAATATAATTTAATACACTTCTATTAATTTTAATGAAATAAAATTAAGAAGTATTTATCCGCGAAAAAAATATATAATAAGGTTACAAATAATAAAGCTTACTTCCACTATTGTCGATAAGAACCATCGAATTCTTGAGAATATATTTTTCTCATTTAATACCCAGAGTCCAATTATGCCAAGAAGATTTTTATAAAATTTTAAAATGTTTGTAGTATCAGTATTCCAATCCGTATATGATTTCATTCTCAAGCACTTTAAAATGTCACACTTGTGTAAGTTCTTTATTTCACCGTCTATTATACACTGAATCTTCCAAATATCCCTTCAATGTGTTATTCCCCGAAAGTGAATATATTTCTTTATCTACGTTCCTCGGCAATGACCGCATCGTTGAATATTTGATTTGTTACAACTATAGATACATACAATACTTAAAGCAACCCCTCTGTGGTGCAGCCGACAAGTAGATTTTATAAAATTTATTATTCATACTTTCGGCTTTCGTGACTTTCTTGGAGAATGCAAGTATAGCCTTCGTTTATATTCATGTTTAAACAAATAATATAGTCACGAAAACTGAGCAATACAACTGTATCCGATGAATCCTACTAATATCGGCAATGTTAGACTTATAGACATTTAATATTTTATTCCATGATAAATAAAAAATATGTAAATAGTAATCTCCATATAAATCAATAGTAGGAAACTATACCTCTCTCACTGAGGGACAAATTCATATATTGCTTTTAGATATAGATTTAATAGAAGAAGAAAAGAAAAACTTTAAGCAAGAAAATTATAAGAGTTAAGAATTTGTGTGATATTAATATTATTTTATCAATTCTATTATATTATAATGGCCATTATATACAATATTAAATAATACTGAGATAGAAATCTTTATTACAATAATAATAATTTTTAAGTACGTTTGCGGAGCCACAGATATTTCGAGAAAAGAAGAAAATTATTTTAAATTAGAAATAAGTTAACAATAAACATTTCTTGAATTATACATATATATATGTATTAGCATATTAATGATTGTCGATCATTCATAATTTATAATTGCATATTGAAAATATCAATTTTATTATAAATTACGTTCATCACACAATACTATGCTCTTGAAAAAATTTATTTTAAACAAAGTATCTTTACCAGGGATCTTTAACAGGGACGATAAATATTTTTTTATTGTCACGTTCATAATCACCAAATAACCATTGTCCGTCAATAATGCGACTTTTATTGTGTTTTCTTTTACCAATTTTTTCACACTTCATCAATTTCAACAATACAACTAGGATTGCCGATCTACTGGTAATCACGCTCAAACCATTGTAATAATTTACGCTTAAATTGGCAACATTTTACTATCAGGGCTACAGCCCGATTGCCAAAAATGCACTTTTGAACACAAATAAAAATTTCAGAAATGAAATTATTTTTATTTACATGTGTATTATTGCCTACATGTATTGTTGTCTACATATATTATTATTTGCCTATATTCATTTTGCACACAAATAAAAATTTTAAAAAACTAAGCCACATTTGCCTACATGTATTATTGTCTACGTGGATTATTGCTTACGGTCCAATTACTTTCAAACATTTTTGCTCACAAATAAAAATTTATAAAAATAATACATATAGACAATCTCGATCTATAAGTAAATGAGATGTAGACAGATGATGCTGCAGACAATCAATTCGTAAGAGCCCTGCATATTATAATGCTTTCTAGTCAAAATCACATGATATTTCAGATTGACCGGATCCAATTTTCTACTCGGGAATATTTTGACTCATCAGTGCACATAAATGCGCAATAAATACAATATTAATATAATCTGTTCCATCAAATTGCATATTTTTATTCACTATCATTTACAGAAAATGCTTATCAATGCGTTACAATTGTTTAAGAAACATTAGTTATATAATTAAAGTAATTTATAATATATAAAGAAAGAATTAGATCATCTATTCTCTCCTAAAAAAAAGTTTTTACTTACGTTCTAATCATTACCCTTAATACAGATAAATACGAAGCGGAAGCCTTCAAAATTTCCTTAAAAGTCATAAAATTTATTGGTACAAATTTTCCTGCAGTTAATTGCTGAGGATTAGTTGCTCGGAGAATTATCAATGGTAAATTTTTCATCATGTTCACGTCAAAAGAATACCATGGTGATTCATAAATTCCATAGGCTAATTCTTTTGACTGGAACTCCAACGTCTGTCCAGCCAAGCAATAAAGAAAAAGTTGTATCAACAGTGCGATAATATAGACGCTGTGTTTCATAGCAGTGAAAGCATCGTTTATTTTAAGTGAAAGAATTAAAAGAAAACCTGAAAGGAACATAATATGAAAATAATTAATAACTTTAAATAATTAATAACTTTAAAATAATAAAAAATTTTTGTAAAATAATTACAAATTTATTGTCGTCAAGATTTCAATATATATTTGTTATTAACTCTATATGTTACACATACAGTAGCATAGAACGAATAAATATAAATTCCGGATCATAAAGATAAATTTGATTGTACGATACTGTTTATTTATATAATTTTAAAATAATAACAACCTTCTACGCATAAAACAAGGACGCTCATTAAAACCTGTGCCAAAATGGCCAGAGTGAATGCTTTCTCCATATAATACGATAAACGTACAAGGCGATAATGTCTTTTCAACAAGACGTCAAGTTCGTTACGGTAGGAAAATTTATCGCAACTCAATGCATTAAAGTTCATACGAAGAATTGCGAATTGTCCACACATATGCATCGTGAGATCAAAGAAGAACCCGTCGCCTCCGCACTGCGAGATTACGTTGACAAGGATCTGTACAAACTGCAAAGCTTCAATGGCGCAGTACGCGAAAGAAAATGTATAGTAATGTCCAAAGGTGCAATAGGCTGCTAACATCAGTTTTTTTTCGTACGTTCCATTAAAAGTCTGCTTTTCAGAGAACAAAGCCAAATAAATATTGCCGAGCATGACACTGAAGGCGAAGGTTACAGCGGCAGAAGCTATGTAGAAGTATGTCGATGAACCCAGACTACCTAGCCGCGCGTACTTCAACATGATATCACGGAAATGAGAATTCTTTACGTAAGTCCAATCATGAATAACTGATTCCACCAAAATAAATTTTTGTTTCCAATACACGCGATGTAAAAGCAATTTTACCAAACTGGTTATTGACGATGAGCTTGATAAAAAAGCATCCATGGCGTCCTCGTTACCATTGCAATTTCGAATCATTTCTAATGACATAATGATCCATGTACTCGTCTGGTTTATGAAAAAATGATATAAAAATATTATAATATAAATATCTTTTATTTTATTTAAAATACATATGTATATGATTTAATATGCAAGATATTTCACAAGAAAGCAGACGAACTGCTAAAATGTGATCTAGAAATTATTTTAAACAATAATATTCATATACATTCATATATGATAATAATGAGATAGCTGTGTGCAATAATCTCAGTACCTCAACGCTAACAACAAATAAATATTTGAGGTATTATGCTGCGTATCTGTATAACAAGAAGTGATCCGTTTCACAGACTTTCCTCAAAGTACCAATTTTTTTTATAGAACATCAGAAATTTATATTACTATAACAAGATTAAAAATGTTCACATCTTGATAAATGAATCGAATAAATTTATATTGTACATGAACTTTTTGCTTAAAATAATCCCTGAACACATTTTTTAAACATTTGCCGGTTTCCTCGCAGAACACCCTGCATATGAAACATAATAAGGCCCGTATTTATAGTCGTGTTTCTGCTGAGAAACTATACTGAAACTAATTTTGAGTTGTGGAGCAGTTCAATAAACGAATCTTGAGAGTTGATTTATTTCACATTTGTAATTATGACTCAAGTGAGGAATTCAAACTCGAGATATAATATTGAATACTCTTTTTCACGATTCAAATCGAGAAAAATTACATATTACGGAAATGTAGTTCGGAGATAACTTGAGAAGGATGGGTTGGTGTCCACCAACTGCGCAAAACGTTTGCGAACGTTTGCAAGCATTTTCAAACTGAATAAATTCGACGAAGCCTTTAAACACATACAATTAAAAGAGAAAACACTAAAGAAAAAACAGAGTTAACACTACATATAAAATATTCACAAACATTCGCAAACATTTGCAAATATTTGTAAGAAAATGCTTCTTCGGTGGATACCCACTTTAAAATTGCTTATTGTATTATTTGATAACTTACTTCAACCACTGTCGATATAAACCACCGAATCCTCGAGAATACATTTTTCTCGTTTAATACCCATAGTCCAATTATACCAAGAAAATTTTTATGAAATTTAAAAATATCTGTAGTCTCAGTATTCCAATTTGTGTTTGATCCCATTCTTAATTCTTTAAAACGTCACGCTTGCGTAAGTTTTTTTTTATTAAGATTACTATATGTACATTAAATCTTTCAAGTACGTATCTCTTCAAATTGTTATTCCTCGATAGCAGTTGTATTTCTTCGTCTACGTTTCTCCGCAATGACCGCATCGTTCAACATTCGATTTGTTAGAGATATACAAATACCTGCAACACTTGAAGTAACCCCTTTATGGTTAAATCGTCCAATTGGATTTTTTAAATTTATTATTCATACCTTTAGCTTTCATAACTTTCTTAGGAAATACAAGTAAAGTCTTCGTTTTTATTCATATTTGTACAAATAATATATAAATGCGCGGTACAACTTCTCGATAAGTCCTACTAATATCTGGAATAAACGCTTAAATATTTTATATTATGATAAATAATAGATGTATGTACAAATAGTTTTCCCTAAGATATCTTATGTTGCTCTTACTGATATGATGGAAAAATTCGTACGTTGATTTCAGATGGACTTAATATAAGAAAGAAAAAAAGACAAATTTTACGCAGGAAAATTGTAATAAGGTACTGTAAAGAATAGTGACAATATTATTTTATCATTTTCTTATGTTATGCACATTATATATTAAATAAATATCGAAGACAAAAACCTTTTTTATGGTATATATACTACTACTAATAATTAATAAGTATACATTTGTAGGATATTGTATTTCTCTCTTTAGAGAAAAAAATTATTCTAAAAACTATTCTGAATAAGAAACAAGTCGACACCAAACATTTCATGATTTAGATATATATTATCATGTTGATTATTGAGTTATAAGATTGTGCGTTTCGAGCAGTTTATTACAATGTGGTATAAATATATATATATAAACGTTCAAGTATTGGTCATGATATATTCTTACCTAACATTTGGCAAAGTATGTTTATCGATATTGCACGCATATATAGGAGTATTTACGTACGCAAATAAATGAAAAAAGAAAAATGTCGTTGAAGGTATCCATCATAATTTATAATTATATGCCGACAATATCAATTTTATACATCTATCATCACTCTGAGAACGGATAGGTAGGAACCTGTAGCTTTCAAAATCTCTTTGAATGAAAATAAGTTCATCCGTAGGAATTTTCCAGCTGTTGTTTGGTGAGGCAATTTTCCTCTAAGCATCACCATAGGTAAATTTTTCATTATTTTTACATCAAAATCGTACCATGGACTATCATAAGCGCTGTACGCGATCCCTCCGGTTACATGCTCCAGCTGATCGCCAGCGTAGCAATAAAGATATAATTGCACCAGCATCGTCAGAATTAAGACAACGTGTTTTATTGCTGCAATATTATCGTTTAACTTTAACGATATTATCAATTGCATACCTAAAAATAAATTGTAATGAATTAATTCTAAGCAGAATCGTAAGACTCGTAACTTGTTCTCGTAAAATTTGTAAGAACTTATAACTGATATTCTAATTGTATATTTTGCATATACAGGGTGTCCTAGAAAAACCGCAAAAAATTACATGCTCAGGTAGAGCGGACTGAACTGAGTTGAAAAGTCCTCTACCGTTTTGCAATTTTCGCAATAATTAACAAAATAATAATTAGTAAAAATTACCGAATACGTGCGTCCGCCCGGCCTACTACTGCCAACATTGGCATCTCGTTAAATGTTGCGTAAACCGCAAGATATGGTATAAGATTTTTAGACTCAGTTCTGTCTACTCTACCTGCTCTTAATAGGTGATTTAATCGGTTAATGACCCCCCCCCCCCCCCCCCCGTGT